ACAATGTTTCTAAGTAAAGCACCAGTAACTACAAAGCCTCTCTTGAAGATCCTCGGACCTCAAGCTCCACAGATCTTGACATTAGTAGTATTGAACCTTCTTCAAATCATCAGTGTCGTAATTTGAACCCTATTCTTCCAACATAGATGATCCTTTGTTTTTTTTTTTTGAGTTGGAGTCTCACTCTGTCACCCAGACTGGAGTGCAGTGGCCGTTCCCGGCCACCAGAGCCTCAGCCTGCTGGGCTCTGGCGATCCGCCTCAGCCTTCCAAGTGGCCGGAATTACAGGCATGCGCTACCATGCCCATATGATTTTTTGATTTATTGTAGAGATGAGGTCTCGCTGCCCAGGCGGGTCTCGAACCCGCGGGCTTAGGCAATCCACTCACCTCAGCCTCCCAAAGACGCGGGATTACAGGCTGAGCCGCTGAGCCACCGAGCCTGGCTTAGATGATCCTTCTTAATGTCCTATCAGGAAGTTCAGGTTAGCCTGATGTCTCACCAGTTGCCACATAACTCATCGCGTCACCACATTGGCACCATAGGCACCATACAGTGGTTATCATCGTCATCCTCCTCCTCCTCATTATTGTTATCATCATCATATGAGGGTTTTCAAGAGAGAAAAACCAGGGTGTTAATGGTCTTTTTTCAGGTCATTAAGTAAAAGCATTTTGTAAGTGTTGAAAGTGAAATTTTAGCCTCTGAACTTCAACTATCAGCTCCCACATTTTCTTGGAACTCTCATTCCTAAACTCATTCTAGATGCCAACTCCTAATCTGGACCTTCCTTAGGAATCCCCCACTTGTTATCCCCTCCATCTTTGCTGGGTATCATCTTAATAAGCACCCTCAGTTTCTCTAGAAACTGACTGGGATGGAGAAACCACAGATTGGAGCAAGCACAAATTTATTCTCCTTTCTTTGTCTGGGGCCTTGGGTACACAGAGCTGTAGCCATCTCATTATCCAGGAGAATAGCCATGTGCCTTCAAAGCTCAGTTTTTGTTTCAGTGATGTTCGTCTTAAGATAATTATAATCCACCCCTACTAATGGTCTGTTTGAGGTTAAGGTGTCAGATTTCATTTCTCTTTCTGGACCTTGGATTCTTGTTTGTTTAGACATGCTTTTCATGTCTACTAAAGTTAGTGAGTCCAAACTGCTGTAAGTACACCTATCTATGCCTGCTTCTCATTTTAGTTAATAATACCACCATCTTCTCACATGCCTAAGCCAGAAACCTGGGAGTCATAATTCTTCCTCTTTAACCCTTGCAAAATCCACTAATTCTGGCTCTTAAATGTCTTAAACAAAAATCCACTACCTTCCATCTTAATTGCCACCACTCTGCTCCAAGCAACTTTCATCTTTCACCAGATTACAGAGACACCTTTCTAACTGGTCTTATTGCCTCCAATCTTACTTCTCTTGTATTCTCCAGACCTGAAATATTTTTCAAATGTACAAAGTGATTATTTTATTCCTTTTCTTAAATTTCTTTAGTAATTGTCCTTAGAAGAAAGTCCAAACTGTTTAACAAGTCTTATAAATATCTCATGATCTGCCTCATCTTTGTGTTCCTTTTTCACATCACATTCTCTTCCTCGGGCATACCACTTTTTCAGTTTCTTATGCTACCATATTTATCCTCACTTCCAAACTTTCTATATTTTGACTAGGTATCTCCTATTCATTCTTTTTTCTCTCTCTCTTTTAATTTTTATTTAAAATTGTGGGGTACAATTCAGGGCTAGGTATGCATATATTCACCATGCAGGTACCCTTATCGATGAGGCATGCCCCTCCTCTTCTCCAGGCAGATATCGACTACTGTCAACCCCACTTCCCAACCCCCCCACCTCCCTCCCTGCAGTTTCCTACCACTTTCAATCCTTTTCTTATAGTAATACAGTAGTTGTTCAAGGTCCATTTATGAGTGAGAACATGGGATACTCAGATCTTTGTTTCTGTGAACTCTAATTCCATCCAAGTTGCTGCAAAGTTGATGATTTTGTTCTTCTTTATGGCTGCATAGTATTCCATTGTGTATATGTACCACATTTTTTTTATCCAGTCCTCTTTTGATGGGCAGCACGGTTGGTTCCATGTTCTTGCTATTGTGAACAATGTTGTGATAAACATTCATGTGCAGGTGTCTTTTTCATAGAGTGACCTGAGTTCTTCCAGGTATATTCCCAGTAGGGAGATTGTGGGGTCATAGGGAAGCTCAATTTTTAGAACTTTTAGGAATTGCCACACTGATTTCCACAGAGGTTGAATTAGTTTGCACTCCCACCAACAGTGTAGAAATGTTCCCTTTTTGCCACATCCTCTCCAGCATCTGTTATTT